AGAAAAAAAACTAAATTTAAATGTTCTAAATTAAAACCTACATCAACTAAAGTTTAATAGGAAGGAGAAATTAATTTTGAACATATTAGATAATGCTTCTATATGATAACAAACAAGTTTCAATTATTTACATTGCATAAAATCATTATCTAAAATTATTTGTAGAACAACGTACATATCTTTCTAAATAGGGTTTTACCCATCCATATGCAATGTTTTATATATATTGGGTATGATGGAAAGTTCTGATTAATTGAATACTCCACCAGATATTGATGAGTGCAAAGAACCAAACAAGTATCTTTGCCACGGACCTTGCCGGAATACCATCGGATCCTACATTTGCGAAAATGAAACAAACAAAACGAACAAAACAAACTGGCTTTTCATTTTGGGTAAGCCCTCTATTGACTTCTATTTATTTTTATTTCATTTCATTTTGATTTTTCTTTGCAACGGCATCTATTTTAACCAAACATTGATACCAATGTGAAAGAGGACTTTATAAAGTTTTCATTTTTTTTTCTCATTTATCTTATGATAAATTATGATTTATACAATAGATAGTCCTCTTTTTTTATTTGTTCCCATCCATTTCAAGACTTGAACTTAAACTTTCAATTAATTTGGAGCATTAAGTTCTTAACGTTTTGATATTCTTGGGGATCTCTTGATAAAGCCATCATTTCTCCTTCCATAATAGTTGTAGGTATCAGTCTAGGGGTTGCAGTAGTTTGCTTAAATATTGGTGTACAATGGTTGTCCAAAATGTTAAAGAAAAGAAGGAAAATGAAGCTCCGGAGCCAGTCCTTCAAACAAAGCTTATTATTGCAGCATCAACTGTCTTCAACTGAGGGTAATGTTGAAATGACCAAAACATTTAGTACGAAGGAGTTGGAAAAGGCAACTGATAACTTCAATTGGAATAGAATACTTGGTCAGGAGGTCAGGGCACTGTTTATAAAGGAATGTTGGTTGAAGGAAGAATTGTTGCAATTAAGAAGTCCAAAGTATTAGATGAAGAGAAAGTTAAAGATTTCATCAATGAAGTGGTGATTCTTATGCAGGTTAATCACAGAAACATAGTTAAGTTATTAGGGTGTTGTTTGGAGACTGAAGTTCCTTTGCTAGTTTATGAATTCATCCCCAATGGGACACTTTTCCAGTATATACATGATGAAAATGAGGACTTCCCATTATCTTGGGAAAGACGATTAACAATTGCATCAGAAGTTGCATCTACCCTTTCCTACTTGCACTCAGCAGCCTCCACTCCCATTTATCATCGAGATGTCAAGTCCTCGTATATTTTACTGGATGAAATGTATAGGGCAAAGGTTTCAGATTTTGGGACATCGAGATCAATTGCCGTTGATCAAACTCATTTGACTACAAATGTTCAAGGCACATTTGGGTATGTAGACCCTGAATATTATCAGTTAGGTCAATTTACAAAAAAGAGTGATGTTTATAACTTTGGAGTTGTTCTTGTTGAGCTCTTAACTGGGGAAAAACCAGTTTCTTTGGGAGGGCAGAAGGTGAAAAAAATTTAGCCTCTCATTTCATTCTTTCCATGGAAGAGAATAACCTTTTTAATATTCTTGATGCTCAAGTTAAGGATAGTTCTGCACATTAAGAAATTATAAAGGTTGCTAAACTTGCATATAGATGCTTAAGTTTGAGTGGTGAAAGGCGGCCAAGGATGATAGAAATTGCTATGGAGTTGGAGCATATTCGTTTTTTGCAAAACAATTCAAATGGTCAAAAAAATCATGAAGAGATTACATATGTCGAATCTGAAGTAACCAAATACTGAAATGTTGCCTCAAGAACTTCTTCATTATTAGATACAGATACACAGCCACTAGACCTGGCAAAAATCCACCCGACCCGTCAACCCGACCTCAACCCGACCCTTAAAAAACGGGTTAGGGTTTACATATCTCAACCCGCAACCCGTAGATAACCCGTATTATCAACCCGTACGGGTTACGAGTCGGGTTAGGGTCAACCCGCGGGTTGACGGGTTGACCCGTTTGTTTTATTTTTTTTATTATTTTTAAATATTATACTTATCATCCTTAATTAATTTTCCTATTG